CACAGGCTGATGTTCTTTTTTAGACTTTGCTACGTGCTGTTCCCGGAATAACGCTTTATTTTGGTTTTTTACAATTGGGCAAAAATGCAATGCCTCAGCTGTCAAATGCACATATTGCAAATTTCCTGTTGGGTTCATGCTCACGTACCGCCGCTACATTGTTGCTCATGCCGGCTACTGTTATCAAAACTCGCTTCGAGGTATGTTTCTTGGCATACGCAGCATCCGCATTGTTTGATATTTAAACTTTCGTTCTTACCAAAGATTTGCTGTGGAAATGATGCGTTTCTCAGTGCTTGTATAGTCTTACTGCTGCTTAGATTCACGCCCTGTACATCAGTCACGTCTAGCTGGAAGGCCTCAAGTTGATTCATTTTGTACGTGATTGGTTCCAGAACCTGTTAGCCGCAAAAAAAAAAGCTTAAAATCGCAAAATAAAACACAACACAATAGCCTTAGCAGAACACAAAAGGTGGTGGCTCGCGCAGGCGCAGCAGCTGATTTACCAAGCTAAAATCCAACGAGTAAATAATCCATATCTCTTTATGACCAGACAACTCGAGGATCCCAGGGTGAATGCGCGTTACTGTGTTCTAATTCAACTGCATGTGGGTCATTCCCAAAAGTTCGTTAATAATTAAGCGAGAGCTTACATCGTTTGATAGTTGCATTCCTGACATACAGTCCATCCAGTTTTTAATATAATTTTATTTTTTTTTTTTGTATTTTTTCTGTTCATCCAGGTTTCCAACATAATTTTATATTTTGTATATATTTATGCATATATATATATATATATATATGTATATATACATGTGTATACGTACATATATATATGTACATATGTATATATAGTAATTAATATCTGTGATTCAGAAATCCGGATAACTACGCGCTGGTCATGTAGTATCGTGTAATCCGGCCTCTCACCTCCCATGCTCCCAAGTCTAGCCCGGCCAAGCATCTCTTCCTAGGCATAGCCTCATCTGATACTCCCTGTCCAGCTGTAACCCGACCACATATTTTTCGCGCATCCAGATGTAATTTTCCATTACGCCTCCCGTGTAGCGTGGTGTAGCCCAGTGTTATAGTTCTTCCGCACCGTGGTACAGTTCAGCCTCGACACAGTGCATATCTGTTTGGGTCAACAGTAGGTTCATTTTAGCAAATCCCTGTACTGTTGATGCACTTGGCGTTCTTTTCGTGATTGTCGCATCCGAAACTTATGCATTATATCACACCCGTTCTGCTGGTAATCTTGACGCTCATTAGCCTGCTTCTGTTCTTTGTTTATGCACTTGTAGAACCATGTTCATAAACAGTTCCTGATGCGAAAATGCAGATTTTCAGAGTAGCTTGTACAGAGATGCTGGTATAAAGAAAGCTGCAAAGGAACTCTTTCATCAGTATGGCTGGAGAGGTTCGCTACAGTTGTTGATTTCCTTTTTTATAAATCATTTATCAGCTGTATATCGTTTAATTTTTACTGCTGGAACTCCTGATTCAGTCTGCAGCTTCTGGTCGCTTTATTTTTGGACTTTGCAGGCGTTGACCGTAATACCCACTCATATGTACTTGGCCCATAAAAAACCGATCTCTGTGAAAATCCCTCTGTTATTTCAGCTTTCCATAAAATACTTTGAGCGGCTGGTAAGGGAATTCGGAGAATAGATGTCGGCTTGCTTCAAACCTTTACAAATTCTCATTTTTGTTGACTCGCCAAAAGGTTTTATCCGTTGACTCGATAATGAATTTTGACGTGCACTGTATCCAGTCATTGGCCTGAGAGAGTCTGCAACACAGCGTTATGCTCCACTAAATCAAAATTCCTAGGATTTGACGAAAAGCAAGAATAAAAAAATTTCATATTTGAAATAAGTCTTAAAAAGCATTGAAATTT